ACTCGTACATTCCAATGTCTAGCACGTTGACCGTCTCAGTTTAGTGCTCTCGCCAATAGCGCTTTTCACTCCGGGGAAATATGGGTTTATGACTCGCCAAAGCTCCACCAGGAGACGTGCGCGTAGCGCCCAAGGGCTTTGAACTCCAATCAATCCATGGTTCATGGTGTTCCAACCATGTATTTCCTAGGATGAGCTCATACCTTGCATCCAAATCTCGACAGTGTTCCACGCTATCAAAGTCAAGAAACTTGACTCCGATGTTCACTGGGACCTTCGGGACCGTGACACGTGAGCCCGTCGCTAGGCGAACAGTGACGCTGTCACCCAACCGCGCTTTCAGCGCCTCAGCATACAGCTAACTTCCTTCCATCGTGGAGCGTCGAGCATAATTGCCTGATACCCCGGATCTTCCATGGCTTCTCGAAGCCATTTACGTGCGCCTCCACGACCAGCAAGCCCGGCTTGCATACACGTTCCGTGTTCAAGAGCACGAAGCTCTTCGGGGCTAGGTCCTGTTGACCAATGCCCCCCTGAGGCTCAACAAAACTCATTTCTTCCCAAGTAGGTCTCCCCGCGCCTACTGAGTGGTGTCGTTTCCCCGCGACGAACCCGACTTGTACGCGTTGGAGCGATGGTTCGAAGAACCTTGACGCGCCTTGCGCAGGGGGCAATCGTTCACGCAGGTGACGGGTTTCTCCACAGAGAAAACACCGTCGTGTGTTTGCGTGCCGTCCGGCAGCTCGGAGCTCTGCTCCCTCGTTCTCAGCATAGCTGAGATTCATGGGCATAGGCTCGCTCGACGAGCTGTTGGAGTGTGCATTCCAACCAAGTCGTGCCGACTCAAAATTAAATTCGGCATTCGATGCCACATTCACCGCCTCTTCAAACTAAGACGGATCGTACGCGATATGCCTGATTAGGCGACGAGAACACTCGTGAGAGCTGCAATTTCAGCTCCGCCCAGGAGAAAAACGCAGCTTCGACCGAAGTGCCGCACGTCAGTGCCCATTCTCGCGCTCGACCACC